GCAGTGGCGGGTACTTTGTAAACAACTTAATTTTCATTTACTTAACGACCATATCACTTGTTATAATAAAGATCATATCACTTGCTTTAACAGCAGATATCCTTTCCCAAATCATGTTTTAAAAGACATTCTGTTTCAGTTGTTTAAAATTAAAAATATCCATGTGCTTGTTCAATTTTTGTTCTTACACATTCAACTATGTCCTTCATATTTGGCATTTTGATTTATTAGGCAATCTTAGCATTAAAGACTTTTAGCAAAGCAGTACTAGATTTCAAATGCACGGTGCATGGTGTCCATGATGAATTAATTCCACTAGAGCACAGAAGTTATCATTATTTAAATGCTAGTTTCCTTCAAAAGTTTTGTAATTCAGTCAAGTTTTCAGAATAAGAATTTGACTGATATTTTGAGGTAAATGTATATGGTTTCTTGTTGCCTGTGTAGGTTTTCCTCATATTGAACACTTTCTTGTGTGAATTTGCATAGGAATATTTAAGAATATTTAATATTGATAATTTAGAAGCGATTGAGTTATTTAAGAATACATAACTTTTTGATTTCATTCTTTTCTTTGTCATATTCAAAATCTTTTGGATTCAATGTACATATTTGGTTGATAAATTAGACACTGGAAAATACTGGACATGAAATGTTCTTTGATGTCACTATAAATAATTTTAAGAAAAGTTCACATAAAACAGTTAAAACTTTTTATATAGACTATTATTTATTCTCAGTCTCTCAGGAAGTCATTTTCTCCATCCATTTGCTTTAATTAAATGGTAAGATGACAAAAAAAAAATATTTAATACTAAGGCACCAAGATTGTAAGACGGAGCATCCACTTATGTGGATGGGGGATCGTGGGGGTGGTAGAGGTTGTTTTTCCCTTCTTACCATCCTCGGCATACCTAGTTTGATTGATCATTGTATCCACATCTATCTATTTACACACATACATACAAACACAAGGGGTAGGGGGTGGAAGAGAAGGAGGAAAGGAAAGAGGTAGGAAAGATGAATGAGAGAGATACAGTGAGAGAGAGAGAGAGAGAACCTGAGAGAAAAGAAGTTGAGTAAGCAACAAGGACCAATAGTGTCCCTGGTGGTGGTTAACACAGTTAACTGTACTGGCCCAGGTCAAGTATCAAACTTTTGAACATCATAGTGAATACGGAATAGGATATATGCAAGTTTCTGTTATCGCTCTGGCAAATGTCTATCTCACATGGTACAGTTTTATACCAATGGAACCTATAACTCTGAAAGGAAAAAATAAAACCAACAAGTCTAGCATTCAGTACTACCCTATCATAAAGTAAGGAGGTCTAATTGAGCTATGTCTTTATATCCTGCTATTTGTACAAATAAAAGACTACATCTTGATGCAAAATAAACACAAAAGCACTGTTGTGACTTTAACAGGGAGTCATATACTAATTTATATAATAAGTGGTTGTGCACGCTTTATTCAAGATTATGGCTGCAAGAAATGGCATGAATTGCTGGGTGTGTTTAATGCTGGATTATAGCAATTTGAAACATGTCAAACACATGGCTAATGCCTCATGCTTCACTCATTCTTGCGTAAACCTGCATAGCCACCATCCATTATACCCTTGGTAACAACACAATTCTGCAAGTAAATATTGTTACACTAAGTAACCTTTCAATTCAAGTTGTTTAGGAAGAGAAAATGCAATCTTGTGCAGTCAGTTCCAGTGTCAGTTTAATGTTTCAAAAGGGAAGTGGTGTAGAGAATAAGTATCTGTACAGTGACTTGCTTAAAAAAAAAAAAATAAAGAAAAAGGAAAGAAAGGAAAACTTAATGCAAGGGAGAAAAGTAGAATTGTATCATTGGAGTACAAGATCTGAAGAGTTATTTTCTGATGTGGCTGAAAAGTTGTGTATGATGAAAGATTTAAAGGTTTAACTAACAGTTCAGACAAACATTAAGACAGTGACTCCCAATTTCACCTTTCCCTTTAATGATCCAGAATTTATTTTCACTGATTTTTGTAAAGTGTTTGTGGTAGGATTGAGAAGAATGAATAATTTAGTTTGATGTGTTTGGGATCATAAGTACATCCACTTTGAAAGAATATGCTGAATTTGTAATTATTTAAAATATACCTTAAAAGATAAAGAGCACCTCACATTGTGCCTGACATAATTTCTCTGGTAGGAAATAGGTGTGGAGATATCACTAGGAGAAACTCAGTGAATCCTGGAAAGCATCTTCATTATCCTTGAAGACAGATCTCCTTTATAGTGGACATGCTCCCAGCTGTCTTCTTTAGGTGATATGTACATTAGAATCCTCTGATTACACAATTGTCCTTCTTTTTGCCTATTAATGTTGGGTCAGATGCTTTTGTTCTGTAGAGAAAAAAGTGCTGTCACTGTTACTGTTTTTTCTTAAGCGTGATTTTACTACCTCTTAGATGATTGAACCAAAAATGTGAATCACAGTTTATACTCTAGGGTTTTATAAAGTCAAAAATTCCACAAGGTATAATAAAATCCTCTGGATAATAGGAATTGGAAGTTATGTGGGTCTTTCTTTATAATTGTAATAAAGATTTAGACCCATGACTCTGCTTGTTGATAATTCTTAATTATTTGGTGGCCTTGATTACAATACAAAAATATATGCAGAATTCTTTAATTCATCC